TTCATAATCATGACACACTAAAGAACCCAGAAAACTGATCAATTCAGCACAAGTCACCTGTGTCATCCGACCTCAACAGCTCCAACCACTTGTACTGGACTCCGAAGGCGACTACACAGACATAGATAACAAATTGTCGTTACGTGACTGCGAATATCCGCGAGGGCAATCGGTCAGATACAATATTGCCAATGTCATATCAACAGCCAGCAGTGTTCCAGGACGTGGTGGGTCTTCGGCTACCAAGCGTTTTCCAAACAAAAAGTCACAAATGTCCGTTTAACAACACTGCGACGTGGCGGATGTGACTCCCCACTCAATAAAGGCACCGCCCCTAACACATTGGCAAGTTAACCGACACCACATTTACGAGTTCTGTGAATATATCGGCTCTCACACCAACACGCCTACATATCTGATTAGTGACGTACCACTATTCTTAAGTATTTTTCACCCGTTTCCTCATACTTCACTCACTGACCTACATTGCTTACGGGACCTCATCGGACTAGTTCCTCATCAACATACCATATAAGTGATCTGATCACTACCGTTACCTCTCGCATTCTGGGTACATAGACTACACACAACCTTTGGGCTCTATGGGCCCACACTACTGTCTCCAACTGTACTACTCCCACTGTTAGTGCTGCTTATTCCGCTAGCATGTACAATAATGCAATATGCTGATCATGCCCAAAAGGCGCATCTCACTTTGTCGAAAATAAAGTATTTATTTATTTATTTATTTAGTTCTCCGAGAGCAGACAACATCCGCCCGAAGGCACTGAAGGCTACGGCCACCAAGCTAGCTGAACCACTGTCACCGTTCCTCCAAAGGTGTTGTGATGAACAACAAGTCTCCACTATGTGGAAGTGTGACATTATAACCCCTATTTTTAAAGGCCGTAGCCGTTCCGATCCTGCGAACTATCATCCTGTGACTCTCATCCCTGTGCTCGCGAAGGTGATGGAAGTAGTCGTCGCTGAGGCTTTAATGGACTACCTGGAAAAATGCAACATTTTGGTACTGGAACAGCATGGCTTCCGTCAAAACCGCTCATGCACCACCAACCTACTTATTGCACGAGGTAATTGGACGGAAGTGGCCGATGATGGGGTCGGAGTAGACGTCAGCTATCTGGACTTCTCCAAAGCTTTCGACCGCCTTGATAACCGCATTCTACTTCAAAGACTACAAAGTTACGGAATCAGAGATCCTGTACTTGGTTGGATTGGCAACTTCCTTTACCAGCGAAAGCTTCAAGTACGTGTTAGGGAATCACATTCTAACCCAATTAAGGTGGAACGTGGGGTGCCACAAGGCTCCGTGCTGGGACCGCGTTTATTTCTGGTGTTTATCAACGAAATGGCAAGGGTCATCTCCTCAAATTTCCTGCTTTTCGCCGATGACGCCAAGATATGGCTGGCGGTTAGTAAAAAACCAGATCAGGATCTGCTCCCACATGACGTAGGTTGCATTTATGAATGGTCAAAGAGGAACAAGCTTCAATTGAACATAGCTAAGTGTAGTGATGCATCTGCGTCACCAGCCGGTGAGCACCTACAGGATTGGAGACCACACCTTGGCGAAGGTTTCTCAAGAGCGTGACTTAGGTGTATTGGTACAGGAAGATCTCGGGTATAAAAAACAAGCAGAGAAGGCGACGCGAACCGGAAATCAACACTTCAGCCTTCTGCGCAGAGCCTTCGGTCGGTTTGAACCCTCGATCGTTCCTCAAATGCTTAACGTCTACGTGCGACCTCATTGGAATATGCTATTCAGATGTGGCATTCGTGGCAGAAACAGGATCTCGTTGCTCTCGAGACTCCTCAACGAAGGACAACCAAGAACGTCAGGGCCTCTTTCATCTGCCCTATCAGATTAGACCGAAATCTCTAAGAATGTACAGCAGTCGATACCGGCTTTTGCGGGGGATCTCATATTGGTTTGCCAGATTCTGAAGAACCCAAACCAACTCTGCCGTCCGCTGCTGAAAATGAACCACAACACTAAATTAAGAGGTCACCCTCTGAAATTAACAAATAAGTATAGCCGGTTTGCATGCCGTAGAAATTTCTTTTCTCTCCGCGTGTGTGAGCCTTGGAACGTCCTCCCTAATTATGTCGTCTCTGCTCCCAATCTGGCGATATTTAAAAAATGTGTTGACGATGCATTGTCTCACTTACATTTCATTTTATGACCTGTTATTCAGGGGCTACAAAACGCAATCAAACGGTGTCTTGCCAAACGCCTAACCAATAGTTTTATGGATTTATATGTTTAATACGCGAACAGCTCCGCTATTCCGCATAAGTCTATGGTGAGTCCACCACAACGCTTTTCACTTTAACATGCAATTGGTTTTCACAATAATTTCCATCCTACGGGACTTGTTATGCATCTCCATAAACGGAGGAGCTACAAGCGTGACTGGGTGAACAGTCTGCTCATACTCATAATGTTTAGAGACTGCGTCCATGGTTTCGAAAATAGTAAACAATCAGTGGAAGTGGATGAAAATGCGTCACGAAATGGTGGAGGAGAAATTGGAACGGATTCACCAAAAATGGCGGTGATTCCAAACGGAATCTCCAACGTAGTGGGGAATGATTCAGAACGATGTCAACAATGCAGTGACGAACTTGATTATTTCCAGGCGACGATTCTTGTCGGGGTCACCAATGAAGAGAGAGTGGCCGGCTCACGCGAACAGACTATTGGAGAGTACCGATCCCAGTGATGGAAAAGAAGGCATCGAAGTGACGGAACGAAGGTTTATTGTGGTACATGTCATTTCCTTGTAGTAGCCAAAATATACCACATCGAACAACGCAGCTAGCTAGGGAAAGCTGTGAGGGACCAGGGGAAGGAGCGGCGTGTTGGATCCAACCGTGGCACCGTGGTGTATTTCGCATGTGTGTGGGTCAGACAAGCAAATTGGAAAATACATAGCAGCGGGCCGACGAATGCGCCGCCAGCGGTCAATGGGATTTTGACAGTGTAGCTACAGTACAGCGGCCAGGCGGTAACGGACGATGCAATGGCAGACGTAGGGGCGGTTTTTCAGACAAATTCTAAGAGGCACGCTCTGGTATAGCATAGCTTAGTGGTAGCGTGTGGGATTGCAAACCCGGCGGCGTGAGTTCCAATCCTAGGTAGGCCTACTTCTGTACTAGCTGCGGTGGAACATCTAGACTACACTTGATACGATCCAGTAAAGCTTGCAATGGATCCTGCGCAAGGATAACATGCTAAATTTAAACTTTAAAGATGTTCCACGCCTGAATATCCACCGGTAAGCTTATCCGCATCCCAAAAACATTCTTGCATTCTGTTCTAGGTTAGGATGGAAACCATATTTACTTGGACTGCACCCACACTCGTACATACAGGAAAACTAAGTACATGTGCTCTCATACGTTTAAGTATACGAACACCCAGCACTCTTCTTTCCATGGATAAGCATACATTCGGTTTCATATTTAACCCCTTGTTATTCATTATATATTGAATTTAGCAATTTTCTCCAATTCATGAAATAACCATTTAACACTGCATTCTTCTGCTTTTTTAAGTTGCTTTAGGAACAGTATTAACATTTCAGCATTCAACGTTGCGTAAATAAACATATATCTAGAGAACACATTAGGCAGCTGTGCAGACGGACAATGCCCCGTACTTAAATTCCCGTCAGTGGCGTACCCGACGGTCTCAAACATCAGCATACTGCAAACAAACTCTAAGTGTAAAATAAGAAGGTAATTTTAGTGTATATTTTACGCAACACACTCAGGCAATCTGGGTAAATCTCCAGACTGCTTCGCTTGAGAAACCGGAAGCTGAGTTAGGTGGTTCTCAGTATACGATCATTCAACCAGCCGATGCTGCTGAATATGATGGCGTTCATTGGTATGACAAGCCAGCCCTTACTCGCATTCAGACAAATGAGGAGACCCAAGGTATTCCAGTCATAAATAGGTTTTTGATGGCATTTGATGGTTCTAACTGCTCCCTATTGTCCGTAACTCGAAAAACAAATGTTGTAGAGTTGTATGATTGGTCACGTGATTCAGGTGAAGATGAATTACATGTCTCATTAACTGACTTTGTTACCACTATGTCTGTGGGTGGTTTAGAGTACTTAACTAGCCTAGTAAGACGGTTCTGTAATGGTAGACACCGTAGAAAGCATGTTGTCCCACGCTGTCTAGGATTCTTCTGATAAAATAGTTTCATTACTCCTAATTGGCTTACAAGAGCATTCTCAAAAATACGTGTTATTACCAATGACCTACCAATTTGTCGGGCCTATTACTAGAGTACAGTGGGCCGAGTAATTTGAACGCAATGCTCTTGTTTTTTGTACACCTTACCATACGAACATCTTGGGGATAATCTTCAAGCGAAGCCAAGGAAAATAGCTCATCCTCCACCGCTCAGCGTAATGCCTGGGAAACCGTGAGACGCATGCAATGGATCATACGTTTGAGCGAGATGTGGGATTCAAAGTTGAACCGGCTGAAGTAATCCAAAGCACCGGAAATTTCTACATATTCCATCAAATACACCAGAACGCACATACCCGATCATCTCACCTTCCCCAGATAAATCAGTATTTATCAAGGAAAAAGCAGAAGTGTCCGCAAAATCCATGCGTTCAGTGTGAAATGAAGGAAGAAAAAGTATAAATACAGCTAAAAAGAGGTCCATGATGTTAATGTGTAAGTCTTCCTGGGCTAAACCCAGTAAGCAAAGCGGACCAATTTAGCGGATTCACGTGATGTGCACAGTTTTACATTTAATTTTATATATAGGCCAAACAGCGAGAGAATTACGCACACGAATTTCGGAGCATAGGAGGCGCATTGCAAGACTACCAAGAAACGAGTTCGAATACCAGGCGATAGTAAGAGACTCGGCCGTAGCTGTGCATGCATTAGACACGGGTCACCAGATAGACCTCGAAAACGTAGAGGTCATTAGGAGAGGCATACGATCAACATCCCAGCGGCTGATTGCTGAGGCGGTGGAAATTGCCAAATCTGATGACTGCGTGAATAGAATTGAGGGGGTAGAATTCCCTAATGCATGGCGGGCGGTTTTAGGCCGGCCAGCTTGACGAGCATCGATGCGTGGATCAGATTGAAAAGTGCAAACCGACTCCCATTGTCAACACTATGGGCCTATCCGTCAATGTCATGACGCACAAAGGAACACCTGGACTATTCCCACTGTGTTTAAACCACCTGAGGTGACATCCCGAACTGTTCCTGTAATGACTCATGGCTCAAGACTCGGGTACCGCGGTTATCGGCCCTGTTCGCTATAAAATCCCACACCAATTGCACACTGATTCACCTGGTCTGACGAAGCCATTATTTTATTGGCGAAACGTTACCAAAAATACTATACCAACCGATTGTTTCCAAACCTCTCTGAACTCATGACTACTCGATCGGTTCCAAGTATCTTTCAAGAATTTGAAACCAATTACGGACCCCGTGTTCGAAAACTGTCAAGTGAATTCGTTCGATTGGCGGGACTTGAAGCGAACTGGGAGAATCATCGCGTTTTCAACATGAGATGTCTTAAGACAAACCTGATCCCAAAATGTCTCACAGTGAAACCTCCGGACAGCACGTACACCTCTGCAAGGATTGCATTTAATGCTTCCAAGGCCTTTCTGAAACAGCGGATTTACCTAGTGACAAAACGTTTAAGCGAGATCCGCATTGACGCGAGTCGGCTGAGCCTGGATCTACAAACCGCCATAACGCCTCTCGACTACAACAGAATTTTCAATAAGGCTTCAGACGTCAAATTGAAACAAGGGCAGAATGCAAAGAAAAGACAATTGCGTAAGTTCGAACGTTTAATGTCTGAGCATCCTAATTTTATTGGTCCTACCGACAGTTCCGCGTCTATTAGTACCTATTGTAATGTAGTTAATATGTCAGATAGGGTTTTGAATGAAACGGAATGTAGATTGTTGGAGAAAGGTTTGACATTTACCATCAATAAACCTAAGATATATGCCGAAGAGATTATCCCAAGCATTGAGAGCGCGGTGACAAAGTTGCCCGCTACGAAGGCAGAGAATATTCGAGCACAGTTAGTAAATATCATTAAGTTTCAGCAACCGGGTGAGCCAAATCTTCCGCAGACTGAACGTATCGCATTAAATTCCTTGAAGGAAGATCGCAGCATTGTACTTACAAAGGCTGACAAGGGAAAAACACTGGTTGTAATGAATAAGTCAGAATACTTGGAAAAAATGGGACAACACTTGGAGACGGGTCCATATAGAGTAGTTGTTGATAAGACAGTGGCGTCGGTAATGAACAAGAGTAAAACGGAGGTTGGTAACTATTTAAGAACCGTGAAGGACGATTTGGGGGCAGGCAAGTGGTACAGTCTCTATCCAAAATCGACTTTACCTCCGAGGGTTTATGGCTTGCCAAAAGTTCACAAACCCGAAGTCCCCGTACGGCCCATAGTCGACGGTATTGGCTCCCCGACCCATGAACTTGCTAGATACTTTGCAAGACTATTGCAGCCTCTAACAGGGCGAACGAGTGCATTCGTGAAAAACTCTTATGACTTCGCTCAAAAGATAGCAAGTCTAAAAATTGAGTCAGATGATTTGATGGTCAGCTTCGATGTCACATCACTCTTCACAAATGTACCCAAAGAAGAGGCGCTAGGAATAGCAAGACGTTGTCTAAATGAAGACGTCACTCTGAATGATCGGACGAAACTAACAGTTAACCAGATAATCGAGGGAATGACAGTGTGTCTTAACATGTCTTACTTCGTTTTTCAGTCGAAGCTTTACAGTCAGGAACAAGGTCTCGCAATGGGATCGCCAATATCCCCTGTACTGGCGAACCTGTATATGGAAGACTTCGAGAACAGGGCGTTAACAAGCACCATTAACTCACCAAAAGTTTGGTGGCGTTATGTAGATGACACCTTTGTACTTGTTAAAAAGGATAAGAAGGACGAATTGCTTGATCACTTAAACTCCATTGATGAGAGAATACAATTTACTATTGAGTTGGAATCTTGTAGCGGTACAATACCATTTCTTGACTGCCTAGTTCACAGGAATGGGGGAAATTTAAAGACGACACTATATCGCAAGCCAACGGATACTGACGGCGTACTCCACTACACATCGGGTCATCCGAAACAGGTTTACGCTGGGATAGCCTCAACGCTATTCTACAGGGCACAAACCTTGTGCACGATGGAGGAGGACAAAAAGGCTGCGCGGAAAGTGGCAATGAGCAAACTATTAGAAAGCGGTTACCCACGGCGACTAGTTAAACGTCAATTGCATAAGGTGCTACACCGGCAGTCAAGACCCACAGCCGAGTGGATAGGGACGGTCGGAATTCCGTACAAGGAAGGCACTTCCGAGGCAATTCGGAGGGTACTAAACAAGGAAAATATAAGGGTGATCTTTCACCGAGGTCGAACGTTACGTTCGGCGCTGGTACACCTGAAGGACCCCCTTCCCAAGGATAGGACGACTAACTGTGTTTATAAAATTAAATGTAAAGACTGTGCACATGTGTATATAGGCCAAACAGCGAGAGAATTACGCACACGAATTTCGGAGCATAGGAGGCGCATTGCAAGACTACCAAGAAACGAGTTCGAATACCAGGCGATAGTAAGAGACTCGGCCGTAGCTGTGCATGCATTAGACACGGGTCACCAGATAGACCTCGAAAACGTAGAGGTCATTAGGAGAGGCATACGATCAACATCCCAGCGGCTGATTGCTGAGGCGGTGGAAATTGCCAAATCTGATGACTGCGTGAATAGAATTGAGGGGGTAGAATTCCCTAATGCATGGCGGGCGGTTTTAGGCCGGCCAGCTTGACGAGCATCGATGCGTGGATCAGATTGAAAAGTGCAAACCGACTCCCATTGTCAACACTATGGGCCTATCCGTCAATGTCATGACGCACAAAGGAACACCTGGACTATTCCCACTGTGTTTAAACCACCTGAGGTGACATCCCGAACTGTTCCTGTAATGACTCATGGCTCAAGACTCGGGTACCGCGGTTATCGGCCCTGTTCGCTATAAAATCCCACACCAATTGCACACTGATTCACCTGGTCTGACGAAGCCATTATTTTATTGGCGAAACGTTACCAAAAATACTATACCAACCGATTGTTTCCAAACCTCTCTGAACTCATGACTACTCGATCGGTTCCAAGTATCTTTCAGGAGTACTTGTGTTTGACCACTAGTGAGTGTTCCCCGATTCGCAACACGGAAAGAAAAGAAAGAAATACGGGAGGTCGTGGATGCAGTAACGACGACAGTAACAAACGGGAAAGACAACAGAAGTAGCGATAAGTCAAGGATGCAACTACTTTCATCGGTTCTCAAGAGGTTTTCTCCGTTTTCCTTTGGTTTTCAAAATCTTATATGCAATTTTTGGGTTTTTAGAACATTTTGCGCTTTTTCTATGGTGTTTGAAAATACTGAAAAAGAAATAATACCTGAAATGCTATTGGATGGAAAATTGCTGTCAACGTTTTTAGAAAAGTGTCGGCCAGTGAACCCAGCGACCAGAAACAGAAACTCTTTTAGGTATGGCGAAGTAGATAGAGCTCGGTTAGGATGTTTCCGCTTGAGCTGTTATTGTCTGTAAGCGATTCCTCAACCATCATTTGGGTTGATTCTCTAGAAGACGGAGAACTGTAGTAGTCGATTGCCTCTAGGTCGAGGTGAGCAACTATGAGGCGGTCGATCGAGACAATTTCTCGCTTGTCGTTGCGTTCGATGACAAAGCAATCCTTACGTTTTATGATCGTGAATACACCTTTGTGAGGTTGCTCGAGCGTTCAGCGTAGATAATCGATGCACGTGAAGACAAACGGATAATGGGTGCAGATCTTTAAGAACGAAATACTTGCGAGGTTGTTCACGTACTTTGGTCAACATGTGGCGGCGCATGCTCGTGGCTAACTGCTGGGCGTAGTACGCGTCGTAGCGAGAAGCTTTTGGGCTTTCGGTGAAGAAGTCGCTTGGTAATCGGAGTAGCTGTCCATTAACCAGTTCGGTGCTGGACTTTTCGATATCGGCTTTCAGTGCTGCTCGAATACCGAGGAGTACCAATAACATGACTTCTCTCCAACTGTGTTGACGGCACTGAACGAGGCTTTAAGCTGTCGGTGAAAGTGTTTCACCATTCCGTTCACCTGAGGATGGTAGGCAGCTGTCCAAATGTGTTTACATCCCATGACATTAAGCAGGTCGTTGAAACGCGACGATTCGAATTGCGGACCGCGGTCGGTAGTCACAGTGACTGTACAGCCGGCAGTGGAAGCTGTGCACGTGATGGTCGCAGCAGACACATCGGGATTTGGGACAGCTTCACGCCAACGGGTGGCACGATCCACCATGGTCAATATGTAGACCATGCCTTTAGACGGCAAAGTGGTCCAACAATGTCGAGGTGGACATTAATGAATCGAGTTGACACTGACGGTAAGCGTCCTACTGGAGCGGCAAAACGCCGATGAACTTTGTCCTCTGGAAAGTCAGACAGGTGTGTACCCAAAGTCTGACGTCGCGCTATCAGACATATTGTCGGCAATCATCCTGCCTGAAGGGCGGATGCCAGGATGCCCAATGTTTTACAGCGTATCGAAGACTTTTGGGCGAAAAGCAGTTGATAGAAGCAGTCGAGGATGTCCGGTAGAGGCGTCGCAAATTAGTATACCTGTAGACGGAGAAGACATTTGCAGTGCTAACTTTAGCGGGGACTTTTCATAGTATGTCATTAACTCCTTTTCGGTTTGTTGACCTGCTGCCATAGGTGCAAATCGAGCGATTGATGCATCAAGCCAAGTCGAGAATTCGCTTGTACGCATCAGTGAAGGGTGAATTTTCAGCTGTAACACACGCGCGAGCGAAACGGTAACGAAAAACAAGTTAATACATGCAAAAACAGTAAAAAAGCGGCGGATAAAACAATGTTTCATGTGTGATACAGTAACATTAACATAATTGACTGTTTTGCTTTTGAATGATAATACTCGGATCACGCAGAAACCTAGTTAGCGAAGGCATGACAGATGAGTCGTAGGCCCGCTGAGGGCTGTGTAGTGTCGTCGCGTTGTGGAACTGGAGTTGCAGTTGGATAAAACGTTATGTAGAGTATAGCTGATATCAGTGAGCAGTTTCGAAGCAAGTTTCACTCATGAATTAATATGAACGGATACAAGGTGTTGAACTAACCTAGAAATGCACTGCCTCGAGATTTGTGTTTCCGTGACCTTTGCAGTAGTTTGAAATGCTTAACCAATAGGCCAGGAAGGATAACAGGCGAACAGTAAGTAGAACACATGCAAAGATGAATCGCAGACTGAGGACGAACGAAGACGTGAGGCATAAAAGGACAGTCGCCTAACTTTGGTGTATAGTTCATTCGCGTGAATTGACTGTGGCAGCGCGTACGCGCGGGCCTTACCACGACCGCACTTCGTAGCTTGTGATTGGATGCCCGTCCGTTCGCGATCAAAACCAGGGTTGTTTTGAATGTACTGAGTGTACGTACCGCTGGCGTGAATAGAAGTAGTTGTTGCGTACCAGTAGAGTTCTGCTTCCTCGTTCGGGGCTTTGGTCGTGCTTGTTCAAGACCCTGCGTGCAGGGGACTAGTATACGTGTAGATGCAACAGTGGCGTCTGGGCTGTGGACCATTACAATGGCATTTCACCTTCTACTTCCAGAAGCCTTTTGGTGCGATCCTGCTACTAGACCTACGGAGTGATTGGATACGATGGAGAACGTCTTTCACGAATTACTTGGACCTACTCCCAGCAACTACTACTTACGATGAGAAGCAAAAACTGAAACTACTTTGCCACCTGTTGGGCAATGAAGGTCAACGTTATTTCGATGCGTTAGATCTGCACACACTTCGATACACTTACAAAGGCATTGGATGTACTCGATCAGTCATGGGGTGCACGGCCAAACATTTTCGCTGAACGCTACAAGTTCTGCTGTTTGAGGCAAGAAGATGCAGAGCCACTGGAACAAGTTGTCGCTCGTTTAATTCGGTCTGAAAAAACCTGTGACTACACTAGCATCCCGAAGAATAAACTTGAGAGTGTTATGCTGACGCAGCAGTTGATAGCCGATATAAAGGATAATCGTATACGCGAAAAGCTACTTTCCGAAGATCCTTCAAAACTTACCTGGAAAGAGCCATAGAGATCGCAAGACTAATAAAAGCCGCCGTCGAACCTTTGAGCCTATTCAAGTCGAGTGATATACCAGAAGTCAGTAAGATTCAGCACAAGGGTTCCAGTCAACCTCAGAATTCGACTGTTTCGTGCTATAGATGTGGGAGTTCTCGCCACAAAGCTGACTGTCAAACATGTCCGGCTCGTACAGCTGAGTGTAAAAGATGTGGTAAACTGGGCCACTTCGCCATATGCTGCCGCTCGCGTCGAGTCGCGTTAATTGACCAACAAAATGATGTTTCCACCTCACCGACTACACCGAATGTTTTTTCTATCAGAAGACGATTACAACCAAAAACATGACGAATTGCCTCGCTGGGACCCAAGCTCCCTGCTCCTGACATACGTACCGTTACACCCCATGGGCTTAACACTTCCGTACCAGTGACTATGGAGCTAGACTCGGCATCGCCGATAACAATTATCCCGGCCAGCATTTACGACAATTACCTGCAAGGCATTCCATTACATCCTACGTCGTATAAATTCGAATCGTACACAAATTCACGTATGCAAATTCGGGGATATATAATGACGAAACTCAGTTTACTCTCAGTCGCATCTGATGTTTCTGTGTATGTTGCCTCCGAAGACAGTCCAGCCTTGCTGGGACGAAATGCTATGGTTGCCCTCAACATAACACC